CTACACTTCTTCAATGCCCCTCTGGAGGTGACCGAGGAGAACTTCTTCGAGGTGGGTGCTGTGGAGCTGGTCCTTCACCACAGCCATCTGAATAGGCTGTTTGTTCTAGCCTTCCAGCAAATCTCTGTGGAGCCCCTGCTCTCTGCCAGGCCCTGGGTTGGGACCCAGGGTTGCAGCAGGAACCAGGATAGACGGGCTGAGACTGACACCAGACTTAGTTTGCATTTCTCACAAGCTAGGATGGGCGGCTTCTTTGCTGGAAAGGATTTCTCCTCCCCTGGTGATACAGAGCGGTGGTCAGAGTCCAGTCTCAAACATCCACGTTGTCAGGCCCTTCGGGGGCTAGATAACATCAGAGGGGAGGTGCCTGTGAAGGCCTAGTTTGAGGAAACCGGGGCAGTGAGGGGCGGAGGGCTGAATGGCACAGATGGACTTCAGACCTTGTCGTGGCCTCAAACGTTGCTGTTCAGTTCAGCAACACAAGTGGCTGGAGACGGGAATTTTAAAAAGCAGGTTCTCCGTTGTTGGCAACGTAACAGTAATAGTTACTACTGTGATGATGATAGTTAACTTTAGTAAAAACATCGTAAGAGGAGTGTGTCTAAACATGTTTTGGGTCGTGGGGCCACCTTAGAGTATGTTGTGTGATCAAAGCTTAGAAATGCTCCAGGAAAATTGTAAGTGCTCCCCGCCCGGGGCTGCTTGAATCCTGCGACGCGGTACTCCTGTTTCTGAACGTGTTTTCTATCTCTTGCAGATCTGCGATGAGCTGGGAGTGAAACGGCCATCTTCTGTGAAAGTATTCTCAGGCAAAAGTGAGTAAACGGCCCTTACCTTTGTTCCCCACCCCTTGGTTGCGCACGGGCGGCCCCCTGCCTCCTGCTCAGGTCGGCCTAAGATCTCTGCATTGTGACCAGGTGAGCGCAGCTCCTCGGGGCTGCTGGAGTGGGAATCCAAGAGCGACGCCCTGGAGACTTTGGGCTTCCTGAATCATTACCAGATGAAAAACCCAAGTGAGTATCTGTGTGTCCTGCAGCCGTTCCCTTCGTGGCCCCATGGTAGGCTGGCTTCGGGCCAGAGCCGACCTTCGTGCCACCAAGGTAGGGCCCCCAGAGATCTCTTCACCATTCGTGACACGGGCAGGGGGACCTGGTCGCCAGGAGATTAGACCAATGGTCCCCATGGGAGGACCAGGCCGGCTGTTGGCTGCCACCCACTCTGCCAGCCTGAGACTTACTCAGACTTGTCCTCTTGGGACTGGCGTTCTGTGCGTCAGAAGCTGCCAGTAAACACCCAGTAGTGTCTGTCACGGAGGCTGGCGCAGTACCCAGGAAAGGGGCTATTCTGGCCAGCAGGTGAAAGGAGTCCGCTAAGGGGCTGGGACTAGGATCCTCCGTGGAATCGAAGGAAGGAGAGAGGAAGGCGCCTTCAGTATTGGGCTTGTTTTTTAAGTCTGACATTGGGCAGTGACCAGGTAGATTCCCTGCAGTCAGTCTGCAGAAATGGAGAGATGGGCAGAAAGGGGGGGTGCTGGGTGGTTAGAGCCTCTGGAGAGGGGCCCAGACGAATCTTTCTTTTTTCTGTCTCGCAGATGGTCCGTACCCTTACACCCTGAAGTTGTGTTTCTCCACCGCTCAGCACGCCTCCTAATAGGTGCCTAGGAAGAGCCCCATCTGAGCAGGAAAACATTTCTCTTTCCTTTATGCTGTTTGTTTGGGTTTTTTTGTTTTTTTTGGGTTTTTTGTTTTTGTTTTTTTTTTTTTTTTTTTTGCAAAAGATCCTGTATTCCTTTTTTTAAATGCTAGGTTAGTAGGCTTAACCATAATGGAAACGCTGGAAGTCTGGAGGGGGAGGGGAAGGGGAACTGATATCTCCCAAGATTAACCTTCACTTTTTAAAAAATTATTGTACATGTGATTTTTTTTTTTTTCCTGTTCATACATTTGTGCTGCCCGTGTACTCTTGGCACATTTCAATAAAATTGTTTGGAAAATACACTGCGTGCTTACTGGCATTCGAGGGTGTGTCCGCATCCCTCCCACCTGGTCCTCTGCTGCCCCAGAGAGAAGCTTGGGGGTCCAGGCCCACAGCCCCAGGAGGCTGCTGGGAGGAGGCGGGTCTGTTGAGGAAACTCTGGGAGGGCCGGAGGTGGTCTTAATGGGCCCTGCCCAGCCCAATCTAGTTGGGAGAGTCACTTTAAAAGTAAATGTTGCTGAAATTTAGAACGTTGAGAGAGCAAACTACAAGCCTTAATCCTGCCGAGTCACCACGTGTTTTTATAAGGTTGGAAATGAAGACCTCAGATGAAGGTGAAAGTCTCCCCAATCCCTTTAACAATTTTTGGTGATTTATTTTTCCCCTTAAAAGTTCTATCTGGATGGGGGTTTTTGTTTTCAGAGCAGGAGTTGGGGAGGGGCAGAGATGGGGCAGAGGATCAGAAGCGGTCTCTGGTAACAGCACAGAGCCCAGTTCCGGGCTCCCAACTGGAGCCCAAGTCAGACCCTTCATAGACTGAGCTGCCCAGGCGCCCTGAGGGTTTCTTTTAACAAAATGCCCCATGCTGAACAGTGTTGTGTGTCATACCTCACAGCTTCCTCCTTTACCCCTTGCGCAGTATCTCCTGGGGCGGGCCCTAATTTACCTGATTCTGGAGGTAAAATCTAATCTTGAGCTTCCGTAAGCATTGCAATGTGATGGGTGCTCTCCCAATCCTTGTAGAGGAACCTGTGTGTGTGGTGGGGGGTGGGGCCTGGCAGGCGGTAGGGTGGGAGGAGCCTACTTGAAGGACCTTGACTCACGCTGGAGGGAAGTCTTCCTAGAAGAGCAAGTGAAAAGCACAGTTAATTGTGCCTTGTCTGGCACGTGCGCTTGAAAAAGAACCCACGGGGGGCGCCTGGGTGGCTCAGCTGGTTAAGCGTCCGACTTCACCTCAGGTCACGATCTCACGGTCCGCGAGTTCGAGCCCCACATCGGGCTCTGGGCTGATAGCTCAGAGCCTGGATCCTGCTTCCGATTCTGTGTCTCCCTCTCTCTCTGCCCCTCCCCCATTCATGCTCTGTCTCTCTCTGTCTCAAAAATAAATAAACGTTAAAAAAAAAAAAGGAAAAGAACCCACGGGCAGTGGGCTGGCTCAGTTGGAAGAGCACGCGACCCAGTCTTAGGTTTGTAAGTTTGAGGCCCACATTTGGTGTAGAGATTATTTAAAAATAAAATCTTAGCGGGGTGCCTGGGTGGCTCAGTTAAGCGTCCGGCTTCAGCTCAGGTCATGATCTAGCGGTGCGTGAGTTGGAGCCCCGCATCAGGCTCTGTGCTGACAGCTTTTAGAGCCTGGAGGCTGCTTCGGATTCTGCGTCTCCCTCTCTGTCCCTCCCCCGTTCACATTCTGTCTCTCTGTCTCTCATAAATGAATAAACATTAAACAAAATAATAAAGTCTTAGCTGGGGCACTTGGGTGGTTCATTTGGTTAAGTGTCCAACTCTTGATTTCAGTTCAGGTCATGATCTCCCAGTTTGTGGGATTGAGTCCCATTTTGGGCTCTGCCCTGACAGCACCAGGCCTGCTTGGGATT